AAGAGGGAGAATCCTAGAATAACCTGATACGTGCTCATGTTCTCCCCCCCCCCCCCCGCCCCGTTCATTACACTTTGTTCTGCCATTACTTAGGTGGAATAAAACAACAATTATCTTAACCTTCCAGACCTGTTTTACCTTTTATCACCCATTCTGTCCTTCTTTGACACTAACAAGCTTGATTATATTTAATTATATAATTTCCTGCTAAAGGAAAAAAAAATATATATATATATATATAAAATAGTGAGTAAACTTAGACGTAAGGAGAATACAATCTAGAAACTGCCATGTAAACTTTTATAAGAGAAGTGGTGGAAGAAAGAGTAACTTTATCCTATTCACAGAGAAACAATTAGATGTGCACTTCCCTGGGGCAGTGACAGTTAATTGTTCTGCATGAAAAGACAAAAATTACCAGGGAGTGAAGTTCACATATATTTACATACCTATCTCAAAATATGTTTTTTGACATTATGCCCATGTCTGGCAATCAGTGCTGCTCAGATTTTCAGGGGAACCATCATTTTACTCTCAGTAGAATAAAACTCACCTCTAAGGAAATTACTGGTTAAGAGTAGAAAAATCTTTTAAAGTAACCCAAGTGAGTCCAAAGACATTACTGTTGCTTTTGAGCAATGTGAGTTGGAGATGCACTGAGGTCAAAGTACATGTATGCAAGAACACAGCATCTTGGACATGTAAGAAATCCTGGCCCTGGGGGATGGCATTGGCCCCCTAGACCTCTAGCCTAAGAAGCTACATCCATCTGGGATTAAGTTTTCTCATCTATAGATGGAAGGTCCTGGGCTCCAGAAACGAACCTATTCCTGAAATTTTGTGATGTTTGGCTTATCATTAACAATGTATTACTAGATCCAATGAAGTCTCCTCTGAACTTGAGAAAAGTTCAGGAAAAAGAAAATAGTAGCAAGATTATGTGGCTTCTGAAATCTAGGCCTTCCTATGTCTGAAGACTATTTTGGCACTCTGTCTTACTCATCCTTTTGTGTGTTATCACCACAGAAACTCATAAAGTCACCTCATTTACACAACTTCCCTCCAGTTTCCCAACTAAGAGAAAACCTTAAGACAAGAATCACTTATTTAAATGTGTCCTGTTTTATTTATCCTCAAGTGAGTAGCATAGCCATATTCAAGCAGCTTTTGTTTTCTTTATATTCAAGCATAAAAAGCTGCCATGAGCTAATTGCCTTTATTTCTAAAATTGTTATGGATACTAAAATGAGGGCAGCTTTCTAGGAACTGCACTTTTGCCAAGAAGCACTGTTTTTTCAAGCAAGTTTTCCAACACTTGGTGTTTTTCAAAATAATTAGCTTTCTTTCTTCTCTCAACTTTATTTTCTTAGCCAAAGAAACAAGAAGAAGAAGAAGGCACAACCGACACGGCAACGTCCTCATCCAACAACCATGAGAAGGACAGTGGATTGGGGCGCACAGATGAAAGCTTGCGGAACGACGAGAGCTCAGAGCAGGAGAATGCAGCCGAGGATCCCAATGGCACATCTTCGAAGAGCAAGAGAGAGCTGGGGCAGAGCCAAGACACTCTGGGAAGCGCTGAACTTCAGTGTAATGAGAGCTTCGTGTCTGGTGAATACATTGACTCAGACTGTATTGGCAACCAAGATGAGGAGTGTGAAAGTTTTCGGCAGCTCTTGGAGCTCAAATGCAAGATTCGGAAGCATGGAGAGTATGACCTGTATTACTCAAGCAGCACAATAGAATGCAATCAAGGGGGACGAGAGGGAGTTGAGCACGAACTACAGTTGCTTAATGAAGAACTAAGAAACATTGAACTTGAGTGCCAAAATATCATGCAGGCTCACAGGCTCCGGAAAGTGACAGACCAGTATGGAGACATCTGGGCACTGCATGAGGGAGGATTCCGAAATTATAACACCAGCATAGATACGCAGAGGGGAAAACTAGATGACATCCTTGAACACCCAGAAAAGTCAGACAAAGACAGTTCTAGTGCTTACAACACAGCTGAAAGCTGCAGAAGCACTCCACTCACTGTGGACCGTTCCCCTGACAGTTCCCTTCCAAGAATGATCAACCTCACCAATAAGAAAAACCTGAGAAGCACAATGGCAACCAATCAGTCCTCTTCTGGACAGAGTAGTAAAGAGTCAACCAAAGCCAAAACCACTGAACAAGGTTGCGGCGTTGAAGGCAAAGAGAAGACTTCAGAAAGCAGCAAGCTTTCTGATCCAGAGAAGACCAGCAGTGAACACATCCCTTACCTCTCTCCTTACCACAGCTCCTCCTATAGATATGCAAACATCCCAGCACATGCCCGGCATTATCAAAGTTACATGCAGTTAATTCAACAGAAGTCTGCAGTCGAGTACGCTCAGAGCCAGCTCAGCTTAGTGAGCGTGTGCAAGGAGTCTCAGAAGTGCTCAGAACCCAAGATGGAATGGAAGGTGAAAATCAGGAGTGACGGGACACGGTACATCACCAAGAGACCTGTGAGGGACCGCATTCTGAAGGAGCGTGCCTTAAAGATCAAGGAGGAGCGGAGTGGCATGACGACGGATGATGACACCATGAGTGAGATGAAAATGGGGCGCTACTGGAGCAAAGAGGAGAGGAAGCAACACCTGGTGCGGGCCAAAGAGCAGCGGCGCCGCCGAGAGTTCATGATGCGGAGCCGGTTGGAGTGTCTCAAGGAGAGTCCCCAGAGTGGCAGCGAGGGCAAGAAGGAGGTCAACATCATTGAACTGAGTCACAAAAAGATGATGAAGAAGAGAAACAAGAAAATTTTGGACAACTGGATGACAATCCAAGAACTGATGACCCATGGGGCCAAGTCCCCTGATGGCACACAAGTTCCTAATGCCTTTTTGTCAGTCACTGCGGTATGACCGAATGGATGGAAGGCAGCTGACTTTCAGAGGGTGCTACCAGTTTGGGTAGAGGATGCTTGCCTCGTTCAATGTGGCGTTTTTATATATATTTTGTGACTCTTTATAGTTTAAATTTTTTGTAAGCAAAAATACCTGCTAATTTTTCATTTGTTTTTCATATACTGGTACCTTTTTTTTGGCTGAGATTTTTCTTTAACTTGTGATATATTCGTATTACTCATTTATATATAAAAACAAACAAAAGGAAAGAAAACAAAAAAAAATGAACAAAAATACTGAGGAGCTAATTAATTTCCTATTTTAACATATCTATTGTAGATCTGGATTTATTTCTTTAGTTTACTTATTTTCTACTTTAATAACAACTCAATGCCAAAACATTTCTCTGCTTGCTTCTTGGCATAATACATATGAAATCAAAACTGTTGATAAATCATGTGCCACATCTTGTCTTATACATAAAAGCCACCTCTTTTTAACATCCCGTTGTACATTTAACACATAAATGGCCGTTGTCTTTGTCTCAGTAAAGTGTAGGTGGACAATCTTTCTGTGATATGTAGTGACATTGGTCATGTAGCTAGATAGTTGTGGTAATTGTGACAATAAAAGAGAAATAAATTATTGATTATCCCTGAGAAAAGCTATCAAGGAGTGTTTTATTTCCATTGTTCACTGTGGTTACCAGATATAAATTAATTATATATATATGCTATTTAGAAGACTCCTAATTGTGGATTATAAAATGCATACATTTTCTATCCCTTTTTTTTTCAAGAAATTGTCCTGAAATACTTCCCACAGATTATTGTGTCCTATATTCTTACCAGGAATAAGTTAGATAATATGTGTAGAGCATCTAACAGATGCTGACTAAGCATTCAATAAACTTGAGTTCATGCTCTCCTTGACTGCCACCCATGTAAGGAAAAGCCAAGAACAATTTAGGGGATGACATGGACAGAGAAGATCAGTAAAATATCTGGGATTGTTTGTAAGGACACTGTATTAGTCAGCTCACATTACCATAACAACATACCATAGACTGTGTGGCTTAAACAACAGGAATTTCTCACAGCTCTCAAGTTTGGAAGTCCAAAATCAAGGCACCAACCAATTCAGCTCCCTGATGAGGGCTCTGTTCCTGTTTTGCTCATGGCCTCCTTTCTGTGTCTTCACATGGTAGAGAGAAAAAGAGAAAAAAACTCTCTGGTGTCACTTCTTTTAAGGGCACTAATCCCATCATGAGGGTCTCACCCTCATGACCTCATCTAAACCTGATTACCACCCAAAGGCCTCATTTCCAACTACCATCACATTAGGGGTTAGAGCTTCATCATATGAATTTGTTGGGGGAGGGTGACACAGTTCAGTCCTCAGCTCTGTGTGCATTTATTTAGTTCATCCTTTGGAAATAAATTTTTGGAAACTATCTTTTTAATCATTTTCAGCATAGTCAACTATAAACGCCTTATTAAAAAGTGAGCTTGTTAAATTATCAAATAGGTTTTTTAATCTGGCTTTTTATCATATAAACATCAACCATATTATATATCAATCATAATGCCTCCAGAGTGAAAGGCCAGATCAATGCATGCATGAGCTTGATCAAATTTTCATTCAATGCAATAGATTGTTTTAACGTAATGGAGACACAACATCCAAACATTTTTGAAGTTACTTTCCTGTTTAAAAACATACAATGGCTCCTTACTAGCTCTTGAATCAGACTCTGATGCCTTATATTCCTGGTCCTCCATTAACTTGCCCACCTTGCCTATTGCCCCACTTCTTTAGATTTTCTCTGAGTTATTCTGGCTCCTGAGCAGCTTGCCCCTTTTCACGGAGGCTATCTAATGCTACTCTCCCGTCTGGGGTTTCTATGCCAAATCCTACACCCCTCTTAGAAGGTAATCACATATACATTTTCTCTTTGGAGCCTGTTTTGATGACACTGGGTTTTCTCCGCATTTGGGCATACACTATGATGCACCTGCAGTTTATTTTACCTTGGAAATTTTATTCTTGTTATTTGAATCACATAGACAGAACTTACTCTCTCCCTGCACGGATATTATGTTCGTGGAGTTTGGCCCTTGTGTCACACCTGTCTTTATAAACCTCTGGTAGAATGCCATTTAAACAATTATGAATGTTATTTTGTTTTATTCACTTATCTCACAGATTGGTCCTTTTGTTACTGTTTTCTGTACTCATCTACCCTTCTAAATTCTTACCTTTTAAAGGGCTATTACATAGATGGAAAGAAATGAATCTTATTTATATATAACAAAAAGCTGGACCCCAAAATTTTAAGATAGTGATAGTAATAGCAACTTAAGGCAATTGAAAATTTCACCACTTCTAACTTTAGCTATTGCTAATCCAATCGATAAAACTACTCTGAGTGCACCTAGAGTTAATTTTTGACCAGATGGTTTTAACTAAGAATACCTGTCTATCTTAAAAGCTCAGTTCCTTCCTGACCTAATACCTATGGTTATTGTTTATCCTCTTGGTACAACTGGGTTTAAATATTCATCGAATTCAAATTACTCCTATAGATAAATGGGATTTGGAACCAACATGTAGATTTTTTTCCAGAAGAAACATGTACACATCTCACAGAATGCAGTGTTTCCAAAGTCAGCAGTTTAATTTTATTTTTATTAAGGCCAAGTGTGCTTGCCAACTTTTTAAAAATGTGCTGTTGGTGTTTTTCATGTCTGTGTTTATACAATTATATGAGTTGAGAAATGTCTTTTTCAAAAATAAGTGAAAATCTGAGAAGTGTTATGTTTTACCTTTCTATATAACATATCTTTGTGCTAAACATGTTTTTTTTTTAGTAAGTGAATAATAAATCTGCTGCTCAGCAAAGAAAAGTAATTGGCTATATGTGAGATATTTCATTTTAGTTCAGAAGACATACGTGAATGTGAAGAGGAAAAATATTTTACTTAGGCTTAAGTAATTAGAAATTCCATCTTTTTTTAATTTTTTAATTTAATTTAATTTATTTTTTATACAGCATGTTCTTATTATTTATCCATTTTATACATATTAGTGTATACATGTCAATCCCAATCTCCCAGTTCATCCCCCCATCCCCCCCCACCACTTTCCCCCCTTGGTGTCCATATCTTTGTTCTCTCCATTTGTGTCTCTATTTCTGCCCTGAAATTCCATATTTTTTATTGACAGAAATTGGTGTTAGGATCCATATGTGAATGACCTAAGGAGGGGAAAAACAATGTATATTCTATGGGCTTTTCTTCACTGTGTGCCATGAAGAAGACTATTGTTGCCATCTTATTTTGTGCAGATTGTCCCTTTAGGAGCACATAATATGGACTTCTCTAACATAACCTTTCCGTAGCTACATACTGATTTAATCCATGTCTTGTTGGTGTGTCTAAATCTTCCATCTAAACACATTTTTATGCTTCCAGTGAGCTTCTGCCCTCTACTTCAAATTCTTTATTTTGCGTTGGTGCCACAGTTGGCCTGCTCTGTCATGCTTATCACCGGAGTCTTCTTGAATTTCTCTTTTATCTGGTAAGGCAAAAAAGCAGTGTGAATTTTTCTTCAAAGTATTTCAGGTTGTCTTCGATACCCTTACCCAGTCACCTTTCGGGCTAGGCTGTCTCCGTCTCATACCTAATTACCACCGCAGATCTAGACCTGCTGTCCCTGGGAACTCTTTCCAGTCTCTCCTACATGTGGCAGCAACACTGGGCCTCCTAAATATTCCTTTCCTCACTGTGCTCGGATACCTTCAGGAGTCTTGTCCTGAGCATGGGATAAAATCTGGGTGACTGAGACATTTATCAAGGACTTCATAATTTAACCTCAACCTTTTTTCCACCTGATTTCACACCTCTCCAGGAAGAATTTCTAACTCAAGCCTCAAGAAACCTGTGTCTTAGGTAGATGAATAATTTGATGCACCTTCAAACTAATATTCTTCCAATTTTAATTAAAATTTAACTAAGCTTTATTTTCTATTGATTTTTACTCTATTAATTAGTTAATTTCCATTATTTTTCTATTTCTATGAATAATCATTAATAGAATTGGTATGATATCATAACACAATAATTATTATTAAATAATTTCTATTAATTTTTGATTAATAAAGTTGAACACTGCAATAGGTTCACCAACTAATTCACTTCTTAAAAAATAAAGTAAAAAAAATTTTTTCCAGCAAATTATTTTCCACTTACCTGAAGTCTGTTCTCTCTACAGTTTCTCGTCATTATTTTCCAAATGTATATCTTTGGAGGTATATTAAAAGGACTTAATATCTAGATAAAACAAACCATTTGCTCCTGTAAATATACATGAAATGGCTTCAGAGCAGAATTTCAGTGAATAGTAGCTACAGAAAACTACTGACAAAAATAACTGACCAAAATAGTCCTCAATAAAGTAGTATTTTGAGATTTTTTTGTCCTCTTGTTTTTTGCTGTTTCTGCTCAAGTATGCTCCCCTTTTCAGAGTATGCCCCCCTTTTCAGCAGGACCAGTTTACACTGAGCAGGTTTGTAAGAAGTCTCCTTGTAGAACTGAGTAAATGGGCCCATAAAGCTGATTATTTGGCGTATGTTTCACGCTACTTCTAGCATCCCACTCAGATTCTGCTTTAGTCAGACAGGACTCCCTACAGTTTTTCAAACATGGTCATTCTCATTTCCAGTGCCGCACTGCTTGTGGTGCTTTCCATGTCAAATAAACCCTTCTCCTTTCTCTTTGTCCACATCTTCCCATCTTTCCAGGAGACTTTCGTTAACTCTTGCTAACAGCACTTATTTCTGAACACACATAGGTGGTATTGTCTTATCACTCCCTTGGCTTTCTACCCAATGGTGTCTAATATTTTTTTCTATAATGTGTCTCTCATGAGTGGAGTGTGTTGCACAGTTAATAACCAATGCCACATATATCCTTCTGGCATTTCTTCTGTTTTACCCACAAACAGCTGCTCAGGATTTTTAGTGCCATGCATTTTTTACATGTCCCAGTCAACAGTGTTGTGTTGCAACAAGCATTGCTCCTGGGTTCACCAGCCAGCTATAAACTAGGGTCCCGTTTATTATTCAGTACCCTACCACAAGTTTTTAACTTATTAGTAAACACTACTTACTTACTGCCTTCCAGCTCTGCCACTTACAAGGTGTGTGTTCTTAGGAAAGTTGCTTAAGCTTGCTGCTGCTGGGTACAGGGAAGATAATTGTAGACTTTTTCATTGGTTGTAAATTAATTGAGTTAATACATATAAAGAAGCTAGATGAGTGTGGGCACAGAGTGGGCACTCAGTAGATATTAGATTATTTTTATTTACACATGAGCAATCTGTGGCTAATATAATTTTAGTCATCTGCCGCAAATTCCAAGACTAGTAGGCCATAGATTAGGGATTCAT